GCTTGGTCTTTTATGGATGAAAGCCTAGAGGTTACCTTACATTTTCTCTCTGGTGTTTCTGGAAGCAATCTGCACAGATCACCTGACACCTGACAAACAAACCTGAAACTTCCAAACCAGCTTGGGAATGGCTCTGGATATCTTGGGAGGGCCTCGGACCTCGGGTGTGGCTTTGTGCTGCTCTCTGCCTGCCGCACAACCTCCTCCAGCAGGTTATTCCATCTGAGGGGACAAGGTGAAAGCAGATGCCTCCCGCTGTCTCTGAGCAGGCTTGTCAGGCAGTAAACTGATTTACTCATGGGGATGAAGAATGGGAATAGAATTTTTGGTATCCCAAACAGCTCAGCATTTTCAAGAGAGCAGGTCTCAGGACGTGTCCCCTGGTTGCCACTTCAACTTCCATGGAAACCAAACAAATGAGGCAGAACACACATGTACAATTCTCCAGAGCAGGCTCCTTCCCCATAGTTGTAGCGCGTTTGCACAGGCCTCCAAATATCTCCTTTTCTTTGTATTTATTTATTTAGAAAAAGCAACATTTCCACCCAAAGTCATTCATGCATCTTGACTTAGAGCTGAGCTGACAAGGAGCGTCCTTCCTCCTCTGTCTGTACTTATCATTCTCTTGGGCTGGTGGCAAGGTCCACTGCTCAAACAGTTAATATTTTTTTTTTTCTGACACAGCGGTGAGTGTGTTTGGAATTCAAAATGTAAAGGATGTTGAGTTTTACATTTTTTAGGGAAACGCCGGCTCTCCGCCAGATCATTCATCTCCAGAGACTGAGCTTGCAATAATGCAGTAGGGGGGAGGGTAGGGGACAGAGGAAGGGAAGAGAAGGGAGGGGATAAGGATGTAGGAGAGAGGTGTGTGTGCATTGTGGAGGGGGAATGGGCATGCAGAGCAAAATTCACCAACGGAGAATGAGTTCTAATCTGTTAGGAAGAGCAGAACAGGAGACTGAGGAGACCAGATCTATCCAGCTCTGCTGAGCATGGCTTAGACTTAGATAACTTTTATCTGCCCTGTTGGCTTCTTCATTCCCTTCTCTACCAAAACACGGTCTTGTACACAGGTTAGATGTCAATTTAAATATGATAAAAACGAGAATGCTGTTCTTCCAGCAGCAGATCGGGGAAGGCGCCTTTTACAGATATAAGGTGTTTTCATAATTGTCTTTTTGTGGAGTTTTACCACTAAAGCGTTAAGGGCCCAGATCCACTAAGTGTTAATTCCAGGATAAGTCTTTGGATTAGATGAGCAAATTCTTTGCAGAAAGACATGATTGCTTGTATGCAGTTATAAAATAGTAAGAGCCTAAGAACTCTAGGGGTCATGATCCCACCTCCCACCCAGACAAACAATCCCTTTTACAGATTCCTCTGAGTTCCCACAGCACTTGGCAACACAAAATTCAGAGCTACTTGCTTTTGTGGATGTTTTAGACCCACAGGCTCTGTCTTTCTCCCTTCTAAACCAACATTCCCTGGAACAGAACGAGAGCATTGAGTAGGCATACAATAAACATTCCCGTGAATGAACGTGACTGCCTACTGGCAAAGATTGACAATGTAGTTGTTCCATTCTTGGCAACTCTAACGGTCAGAATGCTTTTCCATACTAGAGCTAGGCCGGAACTGCTTCAGTTCCACCTAAGAAGGCCAGGGGAAACTCTTACTTTGTTTCAATCTTTTTTGTTCCTCAATCCTTTCTGCTTCCTAAGTTTCTTTTTCCTAATTGATCTTTTTCATTTATTTTTGAAATGACACGTGAACACCATTCTTAAAATGTGATCCCTAGAGTTATCTAAATATGATTTTGCTGGCACTCAGTTTGGAAGGAAATGGATCCTAAGATCATACTTACTGGGTCCTGGTACCTGTGTGGAACACCATGTCCGTTGCTAGGTCCTGGTACTTTCATGGAATACCATGTTCATTAGCTCATTTCTTCTCATTAAATCTAAGAACCACCTTGTGAAATGAAGATCACCTACTCTGCTTTGCAAGATACAAAAGCCCCACAGCTTCGTTCACTGTGGCTAAGGTCTCATTGCTGAGATGCCAGAGCTGGGACCTGATCTCAGAGTCAGCCTTTTCTACATCCACCAAGTACAAATTACATCATTACTATGTGCCATGCCTGTGGCTGTCTCTGTGGTGAGGTGATCTCAGAAGTGAGGCCTTCTAATACACCAAGCTACGATTTGTGGCTCAGGACCCGAGACCTTGCCTGTGGTCAGCTGTGCTAACACAAGCCCACCGTTGTGGCCATATCACATTACAGTATGTGCTGCGTGAACTCTCTCCTTCCTCTTGTCTCTTGGGGTCTATCGTGGTTCCCATATACCTCCAGCATAAGACAAGCGTGCCTGGCCTGGTATGGATACTAAGGTAGTGCTTGCGGGATGAAAGAAGTGCTTATTTCTTAAATCCTGACTTAGACCTTATGTTAGACCTTAAGGTGGGATTTCAGGAAAGAAAACTAATGCTAGGAGTAATGCTAGGAGTAATGCTAGGAGAGGGGGGTGGTTTTTTTTAGCTGAGCAGAAAGGCAAGCCGTTCCTGGCCATTGCTGGGATGACACGGTCGTTGGCTGAAACCAATTTGTATCTAGTGGGACACTGACTTTTCTGGCCTGGAAACCGTTGCTCATGCCAATGTGTCTGATGGTCTATTAACAACTGGAGCAGCTGCCGTAATCCTTCCGAGGTTCCTTCCCTCTGAAGCCCAAGTTATTTTCCAGGATCTGAATTGGAGACTTTGTGACTGTGTTTAAAGTCATTCATTACTTAAAACAGGGTATGGGTTTTGTGCTTGTTTTCATTGACCCACTGTGAATGGTGTCAGCTACTTGATTAGCCTGCCTTCTGAGGGCTTTTTTTTTTGTTTGTTTGTTTTTTTGTTTTTAATTGGTGAAACTGTTGCGGGACATGGACAACGACAGGGACCCAAAGCACACAGCCAGAGGGAAGAGGCCTTTTGTGGGCCAATCAACATTTTCTAAATAACACTAAACATAACCAGGATTTGAGCTGGCTCTAGTATTATATTATCTATATTTTAATGTGATGACCATGGTATTATAGGAATCCTTTTCAGTTTCTTACTATCATCCACAGACTTTCCAGAAGGAAATAGGAAAATGTTACTTAGATACGTTGAAGGGAAGGCGGCCATGGGCAATAGGACCACCACTTTATTAGGGTCCAGAAACTTTCTTCAGTGAGTTATTCTAGACTCCAACTGAGATTCCAGATAAGATTTTTATTTCTGAAACTCTTTTGCTCTTTTGGTAGAAGGGCAGAATAATATGCCTCCTTTTCATTGTTGGCATTTCTGATGCTCTAATAAAACTATGGACCCTTTGTCTAACATGTTGCTTGTACTCTCAGAAACCCAAGCCCCCAAATTCATGATTAAGAACACCAAGGAGCTAGCTGGAGAGATCTCAGCAGTGAAGGATGCTTATTGCTCTTGCAGAGGACCCTGGTTCACTTCTGTGCCCAGAACCCACAGTGGGCAGCTCAAAATAAGCAAGTTACAGCAGTTCTAGGATCCAATGCTCTCTTCTGGTCTCTCTGGGCATCTGCACACACATGTTACACAGAAAGTCATGCACACACACAAACACAGCAATAAAAACATAAATAAAATCTTAAAAACAAAGAACGTTTAAGATGACTAAATGCTGGAAAGGATAAGGATAAGGTAGATGGTTTTAATAAAGGCAGCCCCTCATTTTCTGGGAACCTGAAATATACCCTACATATTACTACTGATACACAGCTGGAGATCCCAGGAGTGAGTCCAAACAGCCACCTGAGTTCTTGTCTGGCTTCTTGGTCAGACTTGCTCCAGAGAATGTACAAGCAGCAATGGCCACACTCACATTGCTATGCCAACTTTAGTTTTGATTGACTGACTAAACAGCTTAGATGTTTTGCCATGGATAGCAGTTTAGAACATAAAGTAGACTACATCAGGGTCCCCCCACCCTGCATCATCTCATCATCTCTGGGTTAGTTTGTTTTGTTAGCAGATAGACTATACCTTCCTGCCCTTTAAGTCAAGCCTTGCCCATCTTCCTGTTTGAGTCAATAGGATATTAGTGATTATGACAAAGCCGTGTGGCATGACTAGGCTTAGACTTCTCCTCTCTGTTGTGTCCATGTGGGAGTCATTCTTAGAGAAGCCCATGGGTCCACAGAGATAGGACACATGTAGTGGCAAACTGAGTCCCAGATCACCTGACCACAGCTGGTGCCAGATAGCTGAGAAGAAATCTCGGGGGGCTATGGATATTTTGTTTGTGATGATAAATTTTATTGTCAACCTGATTGGAATAAGGAACACCTCTGGGTGTGTCCCTGATAGCATTTTCAAAAATGATTAGATTTTATGGGAGCTCCAAATGAATGAATTTGGATTAAGTCCTTGATGGATTCATACTAAGGTGACATTATCTAAAGATAGTCAAAAGCGGGAGATGGGATCTCATTGGAGAAGCAGGTTACTGGTAGGTGAGACCTTGGGAGCTATATCTTAGTTGGTTATCTTCTGTTTTACCTAGTTTTCTCTGTTTCTGGTTAAAATATAATAAAAATTTCCCTTCTTCATGTGCTCCAGCCACCAAAATGTCCTTCCCAAGAGACTATGGACTAAACTCTTAGAAACCACAAGCCAAAATAAAACCTTCCCCATTTAAATAGTTTCTGCCAGGTATTAGGTGACAGCAATGGCAAAAGTGATACATTGTTGCATAGTTCTACTGGAGCAAGACAGGGCACAATTTTGATAGTCTCTTACTGAACAAAATCAGTTGACTCGAACGTGTGCCTTCAATCTTGGTGGCAGCTTCAGAGCTAGGCTCTTTGCTCATGGTCCCAGGTTGTAACATAATCTTCTGAGCATGCATCCATAGCTCAGAGCTTCATTTCTTCTGAGGTCGTTAAATATTTACATATACCCGTGCCCACACATATCTCTTTTCTGTCCATCAGGACCTAGCCTGCAGCTTCTTCTGCCTGGAAGGGCTGAGCTATTTTGGAAGTGAACCAATTAAGAGCAGCAAGGCCCTGAGGCTGATGGGAGACTCAGCAACCATAGATCCTGACAATGGACGATGCTGGAATTAAACCGACATGTGTGAGCAAAGTGTGGGCTCTTGATGGAGACAAAGCAGTTTCCGTGACTCACATGTAAGTACATTTTTGGTATGCGTATCCACCAGAAGGCATTTGAATACTGGTATCGGTGAATGTGGCTGAAAGGTGGGGTGAGCCCAGTGCTACTCCACACATGATGGTAACTCTTACTATGCAGGAGGAGTAGAGTCCTGTTTAGTATCAGACCACCTAATACCTAATAAAATAACACGATGTAGTGGTACTCTATCCATAAAACTTAGCATCTCTGTCAAACACATCGTTTCATTCGATCTAACCAATAATTTTCTGAGAGCAGTATAGTTTTTGTCTATCTTTTATGGACAAGGAACCGAGACTCAGGAAAGATAAATAATTTGCCTAAGGTTTCAGGGCCAGTCAGTGAAAAAGCCCGAGTTTGCATCTCAGGCAGACAGGGTAGGCAGGGGAAAACAAAGAAAAGACCATGTTGTCATGAAACTCACGGCTTAATTAATTGCTAGATGTATACATTTTAACAAAAGAATATTTTTACCGTGGATTTTTTATTTTTTAAAAAAAAACTTAAAATTGCTAGTCTAGAGGTAGAACATGGAAGACAGCGGTAAAGTGGAGAAACAGGGCATTCTGGTATTGGAATTTGTTTGCCAAGCTTTACTGCAAGAGAGTCTGCAGATGATCAGGTGTGGGAGGGGAAGAGAAGGTCCTGGACAATGAGGGCTTGGATCACCATCCAGGAAGTACTGGCAAGGGTTGGGCTAAACTGAGAAGGCCTGTTTGCAGTCCTCAAGGGAGGAGGTGCGGGAGGGGGGACAACAATGACGACGACGACGACAACACACACACACACACACACACACACACACACACACACACACGACTAGGGAATCCTTACTGCATTGGTGAGGGTGTGTCCTTCCATGTGGGAAATGCCAAACTGTCTTTCTCTCAATAAGCTAATCAGTAAAATCTACAAAACAACAACACGCGCCACTGAGGGCGAAGAAAGACTTCTTAAAAAGGGAGGACGCTGAGTTCCCGGCCAGGACTCCACACCACTAGACTCGTGCTCACAGTGTGAGAGCCGATTGCACCGAGCACCCCAGCATTTCTCTGGAGGAACCAATGTGTCCTGAGCCTGACTCAGCCAGAGGCGTGACCAGCTAAGGGCAGAGCCTTTGGGAAAGGAAAAAGACTCCCTGGAGGTGAAGTTAGTTCTGGGCCAGGGAGCAGGGCTGGGGTGTGGACTGAGGGCTGGACCTCCACTGCTCGTTAAATTGGGACAGTAACAAACTTCATGCCTTCGTGAAGCTGTAGGGTCCTGGTAACTCTTCCTCGCCTGTGGTAGAAGACCTCATTGTCCCTGGACAGAGCACCCAGGTCAGGTAGGCCACACGTTTAAGCAAAGCCCTAGAAGATGAACGGGCTTTTATTAGACACGTGGCAGACCCAAAGGCTTCCTGTCCCTGGAAAACAATTGTAAACACGAGCATGGCTCGCAAACGGGAACTTCCCCTGGACACGCTCACCGGAGCTCCACAACAGCCCCAGATGAGTACAGGGAGCCTCCCTCCACTGGCCAGCACAGGTTCAAGGAAGAGGCGTCTCATTCATTTCTAGCGTCTCCTGCGCAGACAAGGCCAGGGATTCACAGGTGAATAACTGATAGCACATTTGTGGCAAGATGGACAGGGTGCTGCCTGGAGAGGAGTCTGGGAAGGATGTCTGACTGAGGAGAAAAGAGTCATGCAGAGAAAGCAAGGATGCTGTCACGTTGCTTCTAGGGAGAGCCTCTTCCTCATCCTCTGGTCTCCCGCCTAGACACAGAGCAGGACACAGGACAGGTGAGCTCAGACGTGATGAGAGGGTTAGCAAGGGGGGTTGTCTTCAAGGTGAAGCTGGGTAGAGGTAGAATGGAGTCTAGAAATACAGCAAGACAGAGATTCCTCATGCTCTGAGACAGTAAATGCTCACAACAGAAGGCAAGAAACTTCATTGGTCCATTCTCCCTTTCAAACACGGCTTGGTACCAAGGATGATATGAAACGCAATTGAACAATCATGTTTTCCTCTGCCTTCTTTGATGCCCTTTCCCAGTCTGGCCTGAAACATGTGGTATGTTATCCATCGCCTTGCTCGTCTTAGCCATACCAGGACTCAGGCTTCAGAATTCAGAACTGGGAGGCAACAGGCTAACACCTCCGTTTCTTCCTGGAATTGAGGGGTCTGGAACAGGAGAGTTCTCTATGCAAGCTTGAGGGTCAATGGGCAGGGAGAAACAGGCCAGACGGGATAGGATTCACTCCAGTCAACTTGGCAGAAGCAACAATGGGGTTTGCTAACTGACAGCCGAGCATCAGCCCCGGACTGTTGGGGAAATGCAGGTCTACCATGGAGCTGTAACATATATCATCTCTTCCTGGGTAAGAAGAAACAGTTGTACCTCCTACCTATTAATCACATCTCCCATTAATCAGGGTAACTCACCATAATTGTGATTACAGTTGGGAATCAATTAATGTTCACCTTAAAATAAAGTGCAGAGAGGAAAGCAATTAATGTAATAGAGTGAGAGCATCAGATGACACCAGTGTTATTGACGGTTATGGATCACGTCCTGCAGTGTGGGGTCCACAGCTCTTTCACGGAGAGGCTGACGGTGAGAGGGGAGAGATGGGATCAGGGCAGAGAGAAGGTCTGCTCCTCTTATGAGCAGCCATAGAGAAGCAGCATGCTGGGGGCTTCCGGGCTTCCTCATCTCCACCTGGGGCTCCGGTTGCTGCCACCCAACTCCAAGGACCAAAAGAAACAGACTGAAGAAGGGTCACAGCTTTCCTGTTCTTTAAGGCGACTGGTTTATCACTGATGACCTAATTTATTATTATTTTTTATTCCTTCTAGAAGCCATCTGTGGTTTTTCAGACTTGGATCTGTTTTGGCTGTTTGATGGGTGTCATTTGGAAGAGATCTGTGATGTTAAACAGGTTCAACCTAATTGAAACATAAAGAAAGACCTGAAACTCGTTCTGAATGTGTGTGTGTGGTTGTGCGTGTGGGTGTGGTGTGTTATATGCATGTTGAAGGCATGTATAGTGTGAGTTGGATGTATGTGGTACCTGCACATGATGTGTGAGTTTCTTCTGCTGCTGTTTGCCTCATTCCCCTGATACAGCCTCACACTGAACCAAAGGCCTGCCATTTTGACTAGACTGATTGACCCAGTAAACTCCCTGGATTTACCTGTTTCTTCCTGTCCACTCCAATACTAAGGTCACAGGCACATGTGCCTGACTGACTTTTTTTTACATGACTGCCAGGGATTTGAACTCAGATCCTCATGCTTATGAAGCAAACACTGCTGCCTGCCGAATATCTTTCCAGCCCCAGTTTTCCTTTTTTTTTTTTTTTTTTTGAAAAGATGGTTTTGCAGTATATCTCAGGCTGGCTTTGAACTCACAATCTTTGCCTCAGCTTCCTGAGTGCTTGGATTATAGGTGTGTGCTCCCAACATGCCCAGTCATAATGCAGTTTTCAAGGCAGCATTTCTCTCTGTTCATACTTTCCCCTGCTCTTTAAAAAGAAGATGAGATAAAAGCTACTGTGGGCCTTTTGTTTTAGCTGTGGAAAGCCAGTGTCAGCGAATAAATGACCTGCTAAGGTCACACGGTGACTTAAAGGCAGGAAGAAACTCAGTATACTGTTTTTTCACTAGGTCTACCGCAGAGCAATCATGATAACACAATTCACCCCGTGGCTGTTCAAGTTCATAGTCAAGTAAAATGGTCTCATTTTCTGTATGACGTGCTTCTCAGGAGGCGCCCTGGGCAGCAGTAAAAAAATCCAGGGTTCAGTCCCTCAGACCTGGATCTTTTGCCAAAACTTGAGAAAAACTTTCGAGTACATGGCTTCATGTGGAAGTGTTCGGAGGGCTAATTAGATGGACCCTTCATTTTCCAGATGAGAGAACTGAGGCCTGGGGTGAGGTGATGGGGGATAGGGCGAACAGCTGCCTGCTCCAGGTTAGACAGAAACAGCTCAGCCTCACTGGTTTGTGGCAAAGCTGATTTCAAGGCTGAGCAAAGGACCACACAGTAGCTGCAAAGCAAGTCTTTGTGACATTCACTAGGAGGTTTTGAGTAGGTGCAGTCTGTGTGGTTTTATATTGCGATATGTGGGGTCCTGCCAAGCATCTTTTCCATCTCAATAACTAAAGCCGCACTCTTGCCTACCCTTACTGTTGCTTATTTGGTTTCTTTCTTAAACTCCCTGGAGAGTCCATATCTACAATTCTCTGATATGTTCTTTCTCGGAATATTTACGTATCTACCTTCAGAACAACCACTCCAGGTGATCCTGAGTTTTGCCATAGCTGAAGTTTTGGAGTTCATGTACCCAGGCTACTTTTATTCCCCCCCATACCCCCACCACCACTGTAAAAAAAAATGTCTTTGCTTCTAGTGCCTGGAGGCTGAGACATTGGGCTTCTTGGTAGAATGGCACAGTTCATTTGAAAATGGCTACAGGGACTCTGATTTCTTCCTCCCATGTAAGGGCTTCTTCTGGTCACTCTGGTCATGCCTAAGGTCTCAAATGATCCCCTGCAAGACTCAATGGGAAGCTGGAGTAGGTAGGCAGAAGTGTTATCAACAGTTAATGGTGATTTTGGTTCGGTTGCCAAATAGACTCCCAGCGATGACCCAAAAGGCACTGGCACTTCTCTCTCTTTCTTTCTTTCTTTCTTTCTTTCTTTCTTTCTTTCTTTCTTTCTTTCTTTCTCTCCCTCCCTCCCTCCCTCCCTCCCTCCCTCCCTCCCTCCCTCCCTCCCTCCCTCCCTCCCTTCCTTCCTTCTTTCTTCTCCTCCTCCTCTTTCTCCTTCTTCTTTTTCTTAATTGATGTCAAGGCAGAGACATTGCATAAGGGAATATCTGAAGGTGACTGAACCTTAATCCCACCTGTGGGCTACCCTAAAATCTGCTGGCCTAATTACGTATGGTTTCTCTTAAGATCAATGCACGTAATCACCTCTGTTAGGCATAAGAGCAGCAAAGGCCTCC